TTATTCTACTCCATTGAGTAAAAAGATCACGAAATTCCAAGATGTGGACAACCTGTTCTCATCACGAGAGCTTCATGTCTCACATTTTGCATTTATGGAATTCTAATATGGCCGCATTGATGTCCTGAAGAATCCAATCCAATCAACTTGGTAAAATATTATGTACAAAGAAAAAACAATATAGCTCACTTGGTAGAGCATTGGCCTTAAGGCCCGAAGGTTGTGGGTTCAATTCCCACCTCTACACCTTCTCCACCGACTCCCACTGATGACTGCTGTCGTTGTGTCCTTGGGCAAGACACTTAACCCCACTTTGCCCAAAGCCCCCACTGAAAGATCAAGGCTATGCTCACACTCAGAGAGCAGCCGTCCTCCTGTGGACTCAAAACCTGCAGAGGGTCAGTGAGGGGCTGGTGCTATGAGACTTGGGTGGCATCTCTGACTGCCACCCCCCTGACCCAGAAATGGATTAAAGGGAAGAAAATGGATGGATGGGTGGATGGATAAACATTTAATTATTATGAAAAACAATAAAATACCAGTTATCCAATGTAAGTAAAACTAAATACAATAAAATAAATAAATAAAACAGATAAAATGGGAATTAAAACATTCCAACGAGGGAGCTGTTTTAATGTGGGGGCAGAGCGTTCCATTGCTTTGGAAAACATACAATAAAAAAATGCTAGTTTAGTACAAAGTATTATAGAATAAATAAAACAAAATCTGAATTGTTGCTCTTCTCTTAAAATGAATTCAGTGAGAGTTTTAAAAACGTAAATGCCAAACTGTCAGAGCAATTCGATGCTTCCTGCAGTTTATTCATGTTTGAAACAATAATTGATTATCTTCTGTGGAGGCCTTCGCGTTGATGAGTCAATACCCTTTTGAAAAAGAAAGAAAAGAGAAACTATTCAACTTGCAAACTGCACGTTATCCAACAAAATCGCTCAATGAAACGTTTCTTTTTCAGCAAACTTCCCTGCAACCACTGACACGATTCATTCTAATTTTATGTCCCAAAGTTGCAAGGCTCGGTGATAAAGTAATGATTTTAGTAGATGTTGCTGAAGTGAAAAAACTGCTGGCTCTCCAAGCAAATTACAGCCACCCAGATTGTAAAAGAGAGGTATTGCCAAGATGAGTATCACTCCCAGATTCTCATATAGATTTTTTCTGTGGCGCAAGAAAGCTCAAGAAAGTAACATCAGATATGGATTTCCTTGTTCTGAAATGCACGACAACATTGTGTGTTTATATATGCAGTATGTTGGTTTTGCCGTTGTAGTTATCGGACCCTATCTCGTTCCATTGAGATCAGGGCCAGCCCATTGAACAATTAAGTATATATTATAATGCATGTTGAACATTTTTGACTTAACCCTTTTTAGCACTCTTTCGCTCGTATTTGCTGCAACGTAATCAATAAATAAAAATCAAGTAACTTATTTTTAAACATGTTTTTAGGATTGGCACGCATACTGAATGACCAGAATGTTGCCCAATGAAGAGCCGGACATTGCAAGACTACAGACACTCAACATTCAACGACATTTATGGACATTTATCAACACTTATGGACATTGGTCATTTGTGTTTTCTGTTCTATTTATTTGTGTTTGAACTATTTGATTCTTTGATCTATGTTGGCGAATTCAACGGTTGGGTAAAGATAAATACTGTTTGGATTGAGAGCTATACAAGAGTAAATTGAATTGAATTGAATAGTTGTACATGTAAGAGTTATAAACACCTTGTATTCTCACTTCTTAGCATAAAAGTCCTGGGCTTGATTCCTAGTCGGAACAGGGCCTTTCTAAGTCTTTGCATATTCCTTCTGTGTCCGTGTAGGTTTCTTCCGAGTGCTCTGGTTTCCCCTCCCTCTAAAAACATGTGCACTAGTCAGTTGTTGTCCTGGGGTCTGGTAGTCTGATAGTCTAGCAGTGCCTCAACATTTGGGGATGGGGACAATACAGTATGGCAAAACCTTAAAGTCACAGAGCTGCAAAAGCTGCTGAATAGGTGTGTTGAGCTAAAATATCCTTATCTTTTCATGTCTGTTTGTTGTTATATTTGTGTATCATTTGGGGGACACAGCCGTTGCTTTTATTTGGGACCTCGAATGCCTAGTGCCGGCCCTAATTGGGATCCATGGGGCTGTGTGGCGTGCCTGATTGTTATGCTGCTGCTGTCAGTGGACTGGTCGGAGTGATGGAGGACTTACTTAACTCTATTCAGCGAGGAGCAAGAAGGGATCACTCTGTCCTGTGCAGCACCTGAAAACCACAGCTGAGCTGTGCAACACCGCCCTCTGTTGGCAAGCAATACACTTCAAACATGCTAAACAGATTCTTGAATATAGTCCAAAGAGAAGAGGCAAATGAACAAAAGAGCACTGTTCACAAACCACAAAATCTTCACAAATGAGAACACAGCCATAACGCCTGGTCATTTCATTGTCACATCTGTTTTAATCAGGCATCAGAATGTAGAGACAAAATATATTTCCAGGGCAGTTTCAGGTTTTGGGAACAGCACAGTCCAGGGAGTATTCTGAAAACTTCCTGTGATTAGGCCTCAAATGCATTTTTCTCCCAGTACTTTATTGCACAATGTGCTGCAAAAACTATTTTTTTCTTGTTTTATCCTACTTCATTGTATGCATATATATTGTAATCATTTATATTGTGGCCTGCCATTAGAAGCTAGGTAGGGCAGCGCCTGTGATGGGAGACCTCTGGGAACACCAGTCACCACAGTAGGACAGCTGCGGCTGTAAAGTGCCATGCTTGACTCACGTTGCCTAGAATGAGTCCTAGAACTTGTCTTTGACTTCAGTCGTAGCAGTTCTCACACTCCTGTTGTTATTGATAACTCCCAGGTGCAGATCGTAGAGGAGTGCAAGTTTCTGGGTTTAACTCTGTCTAACGACCTGAAATGGGTTAAAAACACTGACCGAGTCGTTAAGAAAGCTCGTCAGCGGCTCTTCTTTTTGCGGAAACTTAGAGAATTTACCACTAACTCTAAGATTCTGCTTAATTTTTATCGCTGCACCATTGAGAGTTTACTTGTTGGTTCTGTGTCTGTGTGGTTTGGAAACATCACAGATAAAGAAAAGAGAGCTTTAAACAAGGTGCTCCGCTCTGCAAAGAGGACCGTGGGCTGTGAGCTTCCTGTTCTGGAGGTTCTTTACAAATCCAGACTTTTAAACAAAGCTCTTAAAATCATCGGTGACTCTTCTGGCCACCCTGGGAAAGCCATGTTCCAGCTTCTTCCCTCTGGCAGAAGATATCGGTCACTGAGATGCAAGACATCTCGCTATGCTAACAGCTTCTTTCCACAGGCTGTTAGGTGCCTAAACAGAGCACTTTAATTCCTGCTTTTACCCCTTGTATCGTTTTGTTGATCGGGCCACAGTGTCAGCTGTTTTTTTATTATTTTATATTCAGTGTATGTGTATTTTATATTACATTGTATCGTGCTTTTATTCTGTCGGTGCACACAGAGTACCTTTTATTGCAAATGTATTCCAATGTAGGTTTTATACTGCACATGGCCAATAAATTAATCTGAATCTGAATCTGAATCTGAGTCTGGTCTATACGTGAATGGTTGGTGGTGGTCGGAGGGGCCGATGAGCCATACTGGTTGCCCAGTGGTTGGGCACTCGTTTAGAGATCGGGTGAGGCGCTCGGGGTAGAGCTGCTTGTCCACATTAAGAGTCTGTGTGTGTGGTAAAGTACCATGTGGCTGCAGAACTAAAAATGTCTTGTTATGATTCTCAAATCATTAAAGACACAAAAAGGAATAAAACCGGGATATCTATCTTTGTGAAAAAGGTGTTGGTTTGATTTGTTGTTGACAAAACTGAATTTCATGTATTCACACAAACTTGATGAAACATGTCAATCAGATTCATGATGAACAAATGATCATGAGCCTTTAGTACGTTTATTACATTATTTCCTGTATTCATTGTTTTTGAAGTGAACTTTGATTCAACATTTTGCAGATGAAAGACATTTTGTCAGCTCTCTTATGATGAAAGTTCTTCAGACAGTGATTCCCTTCAAGTCACCGACCGATTGCAGACCACACACCAAATAACTCACTGTCCCGTGCAGCAGCGCTGATAAACTCTAAACTGAGTGTGATTGGCTCAAAACACATGGACCATCTTTTTGTATTGGCCAATTTAGTTCTTGTCCTCTCAAGTCAATGTTTTTCTATGGGTAAATCACAATTTAAATGTTATTATAATAAACAAATGAACCCTAAATGTTCTGTTTTAATGTGTTAGTTCCTTTGAAATCCCTGAACACCATGACACCCGGATGCTGCTTTGAAATGAGTTTATTGATAGAACAATATTGTCCAACGGGACATGATTGTCCTCTCTCCGTGTCCACCCACAAGGTTTACCCTCAGGGGCTTCTCTCACAGTCCTCTTTCAGAGTCCTCTCTCAGACTCCTCTTTCAGAGTCCATTCTCGGGGGCTTGCTTTTCGTGGGTCTTTTGGCCATGGCCCGCCGGACAATCTTCAGCTTTTGTTTTTCTAAAATGCAGGTGCATCAGGGCCAGCAGTCACTGGGTGCATCACTAAAATCGTTGCAGAGTTTTAAAGAATTGTTCTTTGAGCCTATCACAAGCCCTTTTAGCTTGATGCTGTTGTCTCCACATCCTGTTTGACCTGCAGGAGACATCTTACATTAATATTCAACCACATTTGCAGTTTGACCAATTAAGTGAGTCGTAGCCAAAAAATCAAATGAAACGTGAACATGTGGGAACCTAGAACTGTTCGACCAAAGACCAGCTTCAATATCTAACAATATGTTTGATATTTGAGATCCAGGTCGAAGAGTGGAGCTGTCTTTGATTCAACACAACAAAGATAATTGAGCTATTGATGATGACAAAGTGTGACATCACACTTCAGGTCCCAGACAGATTGGAGAGGACACATCAAACAATACATAGAGGACACTTTACAAACCTGATCAAACCAGATCCGCTCTTCTGTATCGTTTGTCGGGACGTTCTTCTCCCTCCTTCCCGTTCTCTCGCTTCCTCTTTAGTCCACGAGGCAGAGAAACCTCAGGAGTCTCAGGAAGAGAGGAGAGCAACTGAGTATGCTTACTCTCCAAACTGAAAGACAACATTTTAGAAAGATAATGGAGCCAATGATGAAGCGTCATACTTCAGGTCACAGACAGATCTTACAGCACATAGAGGGAACTTTACATACCTGGTCACAGAAGCCTGGTCTGTTCTTCTGTACCGTTTCTCAGGACGTTTCGTGACATCTTCCTCATCGTCATCGTCTTCGCTCTTCCTCTTTTTGCCTCTAGGCTTTGAGAGGCAGGGGGAGACGGACGACTGACTCTCCAAACTAAAAGACATCATTTTAGAAAGTATTAGTTAGTAGTAGACCTTGTAGTTGCAGGGGTAAAGACAGTGATTTTACAGAATGTTAAAAACAAGGCTCGTACTCTGCGCTAACATCGAACTAAAACATTTGTCAAATACTTACTGAGACTTAGGGTCAGCGGCTGAAGAACCAGGAACCAGTGGTCTAAAACAGCCTGGACTGCAGGAAGATGCTTGAGAGCTGGAAGAGAGACAAAGATGTGAAAAATGTTCAATGATTACAGCCTTTGTCCCTGATGAAGGAAGATCTCTATGATTGGCCCTTCCTATTCCCCTTCGGACACGAACAAATATCCCAGAATCTCTAATATAAGTGACAGACCACACTTTACAGCACTGTAGAACTGCTATTTGACCAAAGACCAGCTTCATTTTTTTTTTTATATCTATGGGTTTGATATTTGAGATCCAGGTTGGAGAGTGGAGCTGCCTTTGATTCAAGCAAGATTCAACACAACAAAGATAATGGAGCCAATGATGAAGCGTCATACTTCAGGTCACAGACAGATCTTACAGCACATAGAGGAAACTTTACATACCTGGTCACAGAAGCCTGGTCTGTTCCTCTGTACCGTTTCTCAGGACGTTTCGTGACATCTTCCTCATCGTCATCGTCTTCGCGCTTCCTCTTTTGGCCTCTAGGCTTTGAGAGGCAGGGGGAGACGGACGACTGACTCTCCAAACTAAAAGACATCATTTTAGAAAGTATTTGTCAGTAGTAGATCTTGTAGTTGCAGTTGTAAAGATAGAGATTATACAGTATTTTACAGGCAAGTGTCAGACTAAGAGCTAGCATAGCACTTCCTGTTAAAACATTGGCCAAATACTTACTGAGGCTTTTGGCTCTCAACATGGGCACGTAGGGATGCATTCAGGAAGGGATGTGTCATCACCTCCTTGGGGTCAATTCGGGAACCTGCATCTAAGTCCAGCATCCGCTTGACCAGGTCCACGAATAAATACAAATCCTCACCACCGTTTGGATTCCTCTGAGGAGAAAAAAAAAACATATTTGCAAATTTTCATACAACTAATTCAACTGTGCATTGTTATTCACAAAATAGGCCTCTTACCGTGTACATTTCGTCCAGTGTTTCTACAGGGACTGGTCTCTTCATCCTCCAAGGAACACATGATGACTAGGACAAAGATAAGACAATTAAGGACGACTAAGTGCTGTTTTGGGAGAGAATAACATTTACTGATTCAGTTGATTTTGAAAACAAGAAGAAAACAAAATGGGAGAGGGCCAAGCCATGATTTATGGGGACCCCCTCAAAACTATGGTGCAATGTTAACTGCAGAGAAGTCTGTTCCGTTGAAAATGTCCATACCTTGTGCACCCAGTTCTGTCCATCTGGACGGCAGAAGTACTTTTTCGTAAGTAGACCAGAGTCCAGCACTTCTCTGGGAGGCAGCCCCAATATTTGGACAATCACTTCAACCTGTGGAAATAATGCAGTATGTTAAAATCATCTTTTCAAAGGCAACTGCATGGAGATGTTATTGAATGAACTTTGAGGTTACATGTAGATTCAAGATTCAGGGGACACGGCTTAAACTAGTACTACGCATCATTTGAATTACTTACGTATGGAATTCATTATTCAGGGAAAACAAAAACATCTCCATAAACTCAAAGAGTCACCCAAGCTTAATTACATCCAAACCAAATGTTTCTAATTTACTAATTGTTTGTAGTAGAGGTAAGAGCAGCAGCCGCAGCAGCAGTAGTTGCACTAGGACTTCCAATAGTAGCGGTAGATAACGTTATTGAATGCAGTCACACTCACCAGATCAGCCGTCTTTTTGGCGTTGAAGAGCACTTGTCCCAGAAACAGCTCGGCAGCGATGCAACCGAGCGCCCACATGTCCAAGGCGTGGTGCATAGGGGCTCCTATTGCCATCTCCGGGGCGCTGCTCACACACAAGGTCAACCATTTAATACTTTCAATCCAAAACAGTAGGAACATCAAAGAGTGCAGAGTTTGAAAAAGGCTTTTTCACAGAAGGGGGGATGTGTTTGTGCCAGACGTTCATGGTTTTATTGTGAATTATTTATTTGAAAAAAACATAAATTTGGGTACTAGGTTGATGTATCCTTTTAATTAACGGTAAATGACTAGAACTTTATATATCTCTCTCTTTACTTTTCCTGTTCTTGTGTTAGACATAGTGTGCAGACTGGTGAAGGCAGCACATAACTGCCACGAGCCAAACAGGAAGTACACACTCAAAAAAGACTGTCACACTCACAATCAGTACTTTACACATCGTTTTTTAGTTGTCTACTCAAAAGGATCTTTAATTTACTATTGTCTTCCAGATGGAAACTGACCCTGAACTCATTTCTGCATCTACTTCTCTGACTGTCTATGACAGGCCTTTCTGTTTATACATTATACTTTCAATTCACTTGTATCGCCCTAATTCACTACAGTAGTCATCTCGGAAAACTTTATGAAGTTGTCCATTCGCCAACACAGATCAGAGAATCAAACAAGACAAGAAATGCAATAACAACAATCACAAAGGATCCATTGGTCAATAAAGGGTGGATGTCCAATGTCAATAAATGTTAAAAAATGTTCATGTCCTTAAATGTCCTGGATAATCACCATTATCCTTAGACTAAAAAAACCCCGTGGGAGAAGTTGGGAAACCTCAGAGAGGCCGACATCGAGGGAGGGATCACCACAAACTGACAGAGTACAGATCCAGGACTCATTAAATGACTGTTAATGTTCCTTCTTTGTCCCTTTGACTGTCTGTCCCTTGTGTGTCCATGTCCCTGTGCTGCTGTCCCTAACATACCTGTAGCAAAGTGCCCCAAAACAAGTGCCTCGTGTGACGAGATGTGCAGGACGAGCCAGTCCGAAGTCAATGAGTTTAACCTGGAGAGGCTTCCTCACGTGATCCACCAGCATGATGTTCTCCATCTTCAGGTCGCCATGGACTATTTTCAGGCTCTTCAAAAAGGTCAGAGCGTCGGCCATCTGCAAAGTAAGTCCTTGAGTTTAATCCTAATAAAGACCACATTTGTCTCATTAAAATGTGTATACTATACCTGTGTGATAATTGGCCTAATGTGCTGAAGCGGCAGAGGTGAGGACTTTTCCAAAAAGTCATCCAGACCCATATCCAGCACCTCAAACTCAAGGAAAAAGTGACCATTAAAGTCAAAGCTCTGGAACCATTGTACGATGTTGTGGGACGCAGATCCAGACTTGCTCAAGAAACTCAGGAAATTAGCCTGTAGGGGGCGCACATGTACAACCATTACCAATAGTTCGCATTATTCATTCTCCCACCGGAGTCATTGCCAGTATGTCTTAATCATGCTTCGCCATTTTAAGTCTTTGACAGGATCTGACTTTTTCTCAAACCAATCAAAACATTCAAAATCGGTGTATGAATGTATAGAGTATGCAATTGTTGTAGACCATTCTGCGGTTATGAGATTTTACTGAGAAAGTCGGAACGTGTCACTGAGACACGGGGGTGAGGCTTAGCGAGTGAGAAAGACCTACTGGCGTCCAATCAACAAGTGTTTCACCGTCTTACCTCACGGCCAGGATCCTTAACCACCTTCAGCGCCACCTTCTGGTCGGTGTTGTCTTTCGTACAGAGGGCGACCGTGCCGAAGCATCCTGAGCCCAGGATCTTCTGCAGCTGATAGGAGGCGAAAGGCGAGGAGATGCTGCCCCCAGCCTTCATCAGGTCGCGAATCCACTTCATGAGAGAAGTAGATGATGCCGACGATGCAGAGAAAAAGATCTGTGGAAAATGACAAGGTTCAAACACTACAGAAAACATGGCGCTCATGATCAGCCCCTTTGGCAGTGTGTGTGACATCACATCTAATATTGGCCAAAATATGGGCTAGCGTGGACTTTGGGATACAGCCCATGTCCAAGCCACAGTAAAAGAGGTAACAAACACTTCAGGAAGTGTGACTAGAACACTGTACAGACCAAATCTACAGGTGGAATATGACCAGAGTGGACCCAGTCAGACTGGCCTCGGGGTGGCTCTTAAATATACAACATACAATTCTAACCTTAACCAAATGGACTGTATCAACCCTAAAATTAGCCCTAACCACAACCTGTCTGTGACTCCAGAAGCAACCAAAATAAAATGTGAAAATGTTGCTCTGCTCTGGACCAAATACCAAGACTTTAGTGAGTGTTACGTCTACTGCAGTGGTTCCCAAAGTGGGCAGGGGCAAAAGATTTGTTGATTAAATGTAATACGAATAGATGCAGTCTGTTTTAAATTGATAAACACCACATTTTATGATCACATAGGTCAGAAAGTACAAGACTTGGCTCAAAGAAGCAACATTGCTGCTAATGTAACATGTTTAGCTTTAAATGTAATGTTGTCATGGGAAGCGTTATATTCAAGCTCTGTCTCATACGCTGCTGTTTAAAGTGCACTTAACAAAAGCTGATTTAAAGCTGGGGTCTCTAACTTGATTTGTTTCGATGAATATTACATGTTGTTTGCCCCATTACAAAGAAAAGCACAAAGCTGATGTAAAGATAAGGCCAATCAAACACGATGTGAAAATTGCACCAACTGTATCCAACAAACTGCCTATTTCATTATTGTCTGGGTTTTGAGTTAGGTATACCAGCTTTAACGGGATTTAAAACAGGTTTAGAAATATCTTCAAACACAATCATGAGTATTTCCCAAAAATCACAGTTTTCAAAGTCTAAAAGCCCCAATCCTCTGTGAGTCTTACCTGATGCAAAGTCGCAGACGTTTGTTATAACTTCTGGACGAGATAAGATTCACAAATCCACAAAACGAACAGAACAGACCAGAGCAAACCAAAATATGTGTTACCGCTTCAACCAACAATACAGGAATGAGCATATCTGTGTTCCTGACCTCTGGGGCCAAAGTCAGGTTACCATGGAGATTAGAAGATGCGGCTGTTCCATAGAACCACGACACATTCCAATATCATGACATCATCACATTACATCATCCCATGTGTTTTTTTATGCTTTTTGTTATTGTTTGAATGCATTTTTTTTTTAATGTATTTTATTGTGAAACACTTTGGTCGCTTTGAGAGTTGTAAAGAGCTCTAAAAAATTAAATTGATTGATTTTGATATGGCCTAAATTATGGCTTTGAGCGTCTTGTTTCAAGTCTTTTTGACATTTAAGAGTTTGAAGTCACTAAAATGGGGCTCATTTCTTATCATTCATCAGTTAAAGCCAAAATGTCGAGTTTTTTGTCTGCCCAGATATTTCTTCTTCCCAAACAGTTTTTTATGTGAGAGCATTTCACTTGTTTTTAGTATTTTCAACTTAAAAATCTTAATAAGTTTAGATAGATGGATACTTTATTGATCCCTGTAGGAGAAATGTAGGTGTCCATCCAAACAAACAAAACAAATAATTTGATAATTCTAAAAGTAGCTTACAATAGTATCAAAATGCAACAGCCCTTCAGGTCACAGCAGCTGGGGTGGAGTAGCCGCTTTGTTCGGACCATTTTCTCTGCTCTGGTCCAAAGTAAAATGCTTAATGCTTTATTAGCATTTTTCAAAAAGTTAGCATTCTTCAAGTGGATTTTCACCTGATACGCTTGGTTCAGACCATGAATCCTCTCTGCTCCGGTCTGGAGTGCAGTGCAAAACCATGAACACTGTACTGCAACAACATCTCAGGCAGAAAAAAGCAATAAAAATAACAAATGTAAAACGCAAAACAACAACTGTTTCAGAGACACTAAGGACTTGCTGATGTTTCCAGTGCATTCAAAAGTAAATTGACTTTTGATTTAACTCTGTGTGTTTTCATTGAGACACTTTACTCTCTGTGTGTTTTTGTTGTGATGGTACCTGAGAAGGCTCAAGAACTATACACTGTAGAGCCAAACATTTAAAACTAAAATACAGCTCATATGAATGTTCATCCCCCCAGAACAAAATCATTCCAAAAAAGATTGGACTGCAGAACTGAAAACATCATGAAACAAAAGTGCATTGTTTTGCTCTGATGAAGAGATGACAACGCGTGATACTAAATGGTTCAGGCCAATAAATGAAAATTCATTCTTTCTCTTTATGCACCACTGGGCTCTCTATTCACACAAAACAATCAGCACATTTTAATGGACTCTGTTTGTGCCTGTGCCGCGACAACAAAATTACAAATCAACTGCACTTCCTCCACTTCTAACACCAAGTTAAAAGATCTATAGGTGTAAAAAAGCAGGCACATCTTCACATCTTCACACTTTACTGGGGGAGAATTTATTAAATCATCTTGCTGTTATAGTATCAGGGTCACGTGATTAAATGTTCTATTGTTGGGTTCTTAAGACACTCATCATTTTCGGTTGTTTGAAAATTACAACCGAAAGAAATTGAGTTAATGGAGGTGTACTGTAATTGTAAATATAATTTTGTTATAGAATTAAAATTTGTGTAGGCCTAATGAAAGTTATGCTGCTGGACTTTCTATCTGTGGCAGCATACAAAAATTCAGTTCCACTAAGTTTGTCCTTCTCAAATAGTGCGAGGAAACGCTGGGTACGAGCTTGAAAAGGGTTCCACATCCTCCGTCTCTGTAACTGTGGCCGCTTTGTGGTGCTGCCTCTCCAGCAGGATACAAAGATTTGCACCGGGGATCACCGTCAGATCACCCCCCACGGTTCAGGTTCCAAACAAGAAGAATATCTTTGTTGAAGAAAAAGTTGGGGTACCTAAATTGTCCCTCCCATTAATAATGCATATTAGTTGTGCCCAAGTTTGAGCCCAGAAGTTAAATATTTAGGACAAACACCGCCAAAACAGGCGGAGTTTACCTGATTACTTTATTTTTTTTATTTTTTTATAATTTGCACACTTTTAGGAAAGAGCCCAGTGTGTGTCACAATTTGACTTTATTCATTAATTTCGACCGAACACATTATCACTTAGGAATGCACTCAGAGTTTTACTTCAGTATAAAACATTTACATTATGCATTTTTGCATTAACCTTGTGGGAGTTTATTCAGACCCAAAACATTAAACTAATGGAAAGGGGAAACAATAAGAAAATGGTGATGAAAGGAAGGATTTGTGCTTTTTGACAGGTTGTTAAGGTGAATATTTCTCTGTTATGTCTATTGCTTCATTTGTCCATATGTTAAAGCTCACAATAACGGTCAACATTTTAGATTTGAAACAGTTTCCCCATTGTCATTAGGGTTTGGGTACCTGCTTTTAACACTTTCCAAACACAATGAACCTTACTAAACCTTTTAGTTGCTTACTCTCAAAACAGTTCCATCACTAGTTTCGAAATTAATATTTGGCCTTAGTCACATCTTTAGATCAACTTTTTTCAGACAAAGAAGTGAAACAGAGAGGACCGCCCTCACTCAGCCAAATACAAATACAAAGTAACGAAAAATGGTCTCAATATGGTAAAAGATGAAGGCAGCATGTACTCAAAATATGGTCTAAGAAAAAAGGCAGCATGTGGTCTCGCATTCCCTTTCTTGTCCAGCAGATGGCAGCCTCTCACTTATCACCATCCATTCCCTCACATATGAATAGGAGGCAGTGCTTTTCTGCAGATGCAACACTTTTCCAGACTGTTTTTTGTGCCTCGTTTCTGCGACTCCTCTGATTGGTCCAAAGTCAAAGCTGGGCACTTTTTTGGCTCCACACTCTCTATAAATACTGATCAGATGAGAAAAGTGTATACTTTCAACCCGAGTTGCAGCTTTCAGGAGGGACACCAAGGACTTTACAACTCCAACTATATAAAAACTGCATTCACTTTTTTTCATTTTGATCCACTTTGATACTTATTTGGCATTATGGCAAACTCCGGGCTCCAGTCATGTGCGTTCATCCTGTGTGTTTTGGGCTGGCTGGGCATCATAATAGCCACAGTGACTAATGACTGGGTGATCCATTGTAAATATGGCCTGAACACCTGTAAGAAGATGGACGAGCTGGGAGCCAAGGGGCCGCGTGGGCGGACTGTGTGTTTCTGAAGCTGGGTAGTCTGAGCCGTAACCTCCCGTACCTGTCTGAGCGCCTCTTGGGAGTGTTTTTGGTCCAGACTCTCCTCGTCTGTGCTAGTCACGGTACACAGCAAAATCCACATTGGCAAATCAACTCCCAGGGTGTTACTTTTAACCCTTTTCTGGGGTTTATATGCGACCACACCAGAAAGTGTTAAATTAACACTTTTTGCAGAGTTAGGCATTAACTCCCAAGTTGGTGTTAATGGACTCATATTTTAGAGTAAAATCTAACCCTTTTAGGAGAGTAAAGTCACTCTCATGGAGTGTAATTTTTTATTTTTAAATATATATATATATATTGTTAGTTTTTAGGACAATGGAAAAAAAATAGGCATCTTAATAAATTCTGATTTATTGACACAATTTTAAATCAGGTGACAATAAGGTACAATGTAGAACAGTCCATTGTCATCGTTTGCCAACAGTCTATCAAAGGGTTTAAAGTATTTAAGCTTTTCAATCTCAATCAATGAATTTCCTTCACTTTGCTCATCAATACAATAAGCATAAAAATGTTCATCAAAATAAAGTGTCTTAACTGTTCCGCCTACAACAAATACCTGGTTTTCATAAAGTACAATTTGCTTAATTCTTTTAAACAAAGGCAAGTCATTGAACATTCCAGTACATACAAAAAGACCAGTTTGATACCATGTCCCATAACTCTTGATCCATTTTGTGACTGCT